CATATATCATTCAACGGATTAACATTCAGTTCAGACTGTTGTCAATTTTCTAACGGAAAAGACGAGTTTAGAACATACTATTAAGTCATGTAACCATTTTGTAACTTTTAACAGTAAGAGGACTCAATAAAGCAACACTCTATAATCAAAGGACCATTTTATAGCTTGTAATAATCGATGGACTCAACAAAGCATTACCCTATAGGCGGGGGACTATTTATGTACTTTACCCTTTACTTTAAGAAAAATCAATGACATGATGATTGAGTTAAATCTATATAACTATATATTCAATAATTATATATATCTTATCGATATAATTTTATTTTTATTCGATTCGGTAAATTTAATTCTCACATATATTGCCATTTAATTAATTTTTCTTCTTAATTTTAATATATTGAAGTTCATTTTTTTTCAATCAAATAATGATACAATCTAATTGGAGGAAACCAAAGTTGACCTTGGGGGGATTAAACCAAGGATGTATGGAACTATTGAGTCGAATCCTTACCTTGATTAAAATTGAGATCATGTTTTATTAAAAATTATCATATTAATTAAAGTTTAAAGAAAGCAAAATCTGAATCGAAGGATTCAAGCTCGAGTTTACTAAGATAAAAGAATGAATGCTTAACCATTTAACCAACTTCAATACTTGATTAATATTGACAATGTAGTATATATAATTTAAGCTGAAATTAACAAATAATATTAATATTAATATAATTAAGGTTTGAATTATACTCTCTCTCTTATTTTACTCACCGTACTTTTAATTTACTCACTAAACTTTCGAATTGCTCGTTTTGACCACTCTAAATTATTTTATTATTATTATTATTTTATTATTATTTAATTTAAAATATAAAATAAAAACAAAATGTGATCAGACGCCATCGCCGACCACCCATAGATGATTATCATTTGGTCTAAATTTCATAGGCCTTGTTCATTTCGACCCTGAGTCCGAATCTAGTTATTGTTTTACCAGAAAATGTCCCAAAACCCACAACTCTCAATCGAAAATGTTTCAGCTTTTCACTTTCAATCTCAATCTCTGATTCGTGAACTTCATAGTAATGGCGGGGGATGTGGAGAAGCTCACTTTAAATGCTTTTCAAAAATTAAAGAATCTTAATTTATATCCTTCAAAATTACTCTGTAAAGTGAAAATGTACGAGGGAGATTCAATGTCATAAAAGATAGATAATGGTGGGGGATGTGGAGAAGCTCACTTTAAATGCATAATAAAGAAACAGTGCCTTCCCCACCCAACCAAATCCACCTACAAATTGAAACCTCAACAAAACCATGGCATTTCAAAGCCTTTAGTCAACAATAACATCAACTTATGCTCCATGATCATGTCCTATAAAAGTCTAGCGTGATATGGTTTTCATAAAAAGTTAGAAACCATGATTGAGCTGCAAGGCCATGCATGATGGAACATGCATCAATCACGGCAAAACCTGAAGAGGTTGAACCAAGGAAACTAAGGTAAAATCCAGACAACACATCAATATTCTCAACTTAAATGGGATTTATAGGTCCAAAAGTATAGCATGATGTGGAGAAGCTCACTTTAAATGCATAATAAAGAAACAGTGCCTTCCCCACCCAACCAAATCCACCTACAAATTGAAACCTCAACAAAACCATGGCATTTCAAAGCCTTTAGTCAACAATAACATCAACTTTTGCTCCATGATCATGTCCTATAAAAGTCTATCATGATATGGTTTTCATAAAAAGTTAGAAACCATGATTGAGCTGCAAGGTCATGCATGATGGAACATGCATCAATCACGGCAAAACCTGAAGAGGTTGAACCAAGGAAACTAAGGTAAAATCCAGACAACACATCAATATTCTCAACATAAATGGGATTTATAGGTCCAAAAATTCAGTATCAAATAGAAATTATGGAATCTGAAAGATAACATAAACCAAAACAATCCCTCGTGTTCTTGCAAATCTACAAAGAGTATAAAAGGTTCCACAAATATAGACATGATACACAAGGAAGATATACAGTGCACAATACCAGGGTAAACCCAACATGATGAGAAAGAACAAATTTCAAAACCATGAGCAAGTTGCTTGTCAGTCATGCCCCTCACAATCGATGCAAAACAGAGAAAAATGAACAACTGAATTGTCCAAAATTTAGACAAGAATAAATTAAATCATAGTACGAATATTACCCTCAGTTGCAGAAGGGTTTAACTTTAAACCTGTAGAGAAGCTTCTTCTTTATGGAAGCCGGGTTGTCAACTGTGAGCAATACTTTACCAAGTTCACTGACTTTGAAGCTTTGTGACACAACTGGTTCATCTTTTGAAGTCATCTTTGTCGGTTTTTGAATGATAACAGCATAGCTATCTTTGGCATCAGGCACAAATTCAGCTCCATAGCTCACCTCCCAACCGACCACCCTGATTTCCCAAACAAGAACACATTTCTGCAATTCAAAATTTTCGCATTAATACAAGTGGGATTTTAGACCTTAAATTCATCAGCATTGGCAAAAACACCGAAAAACATAGTAGCTAAATATGTTTAGTTAAAATCAGTGAATGACATTAGCAGGATGGAGAAACAATGGAATTTGAACCTCAAAGATTGATATTTCAACAGTTTGCTTTGTTCCCGGTTTCACAGTCATTTCAGTGGCAGCATCGTCATCACTGAATTCCGGGTTGCAATCACAATAATCCACACTCAAACCACCATATTGAATAGGCACTTGCTCAGGTGGTATGTATCTGTTTTACGCATCGTATATTTCAGGATATTAACCACTAGAAAGAACCACAGGTACTTAGAATAAGTACTTTAGATAAACCACTCACTTGAAAAGGGTTTCAGCAGATTTTGCTGGCAGTGCAATGACAAACTTGCTCTTGGTTCTTTGAGTCATAAATGGACTAATCATTGTATAGAATGCAAGATACCACCAAGGAACGTTAATGAACACCTAAACAGAATATGAAACCCAAATCAATGCATCTCCCAAAGAATCTAATGGACAATAAAAATAGCACATTAAGGATATATAGATAGACATATAGATATAAAACAAACCTGTTTTGCAACAAACTCTGGATAATTATCTTGGAGAACCTGAAGAGCTTGTTTAGTTGCCAATCTAAGCTCTTTTTTTCCAGGTCCAGGCGAATTTTTGAGGTCACTAACCTGGAAAATGGTGGAAATACCACCAGGACTAAAATCGAGCCTTCTTATACTCTTCTCCAAGAGCTGAATTCGCCATCGCAGGAACTTCATTCGCTTTTCCTCATCGGAAAATGTTTTCTGGTACAATTCTTTATTCTGAAACTCCCCATAAACATTGTAACAAACAGGATGGCCTTCCCTGTCTTTTCCATGGATGAACACAACTTTGTCCATATCATCACCAAGATCTTCATCCAAAAGCTCGTCGATTCCGAACTCTTTCCTCCAATGGATCGTGTTTTTTAACATTACAAACGCATCTTTAGATTTGAAATCCCTTGCTCTCAAGAACTTCAAAAGGATGACATCGCTCCTGTCGTCTTTTAAAAGAGGAATACCCCAAATGGATACCTCTTTTGGTTCTTGTTTCTTTTCCTTATCTGGGTTTTCTTCACTTTTGGATTCTGAATTGAAAAGGTTAGAGTCTATAGCTTCTTTAACAAGCCGCTTCAGTTCTTCCAAAGCTTTCCTTTGGAAATCAGATAGATCAGTTTCCTTGTTGCTTTCCTCTTTGAAAGAACCCAGATTTTGGGGAGCCTTTTTCTCTTCAACAACAGCAGCCACCTCTTCTTGAGCAGTACTAGTACTCGCTGCAGTAGGCTCCTCATCTTTCTCAGTCACCGCCGCCAGTGATTCCGTCTCCGTAGCAACCTCTGGTTGCTGCGATTCGGATTCCGATATCACAACAGTTTCTGCTGTTGGAGCTTCTTCCTTTTGTGCCTCCATTACAGCAGGTGGCTCAGATTCTGACTCCATCGCTTGCGGTGGTGGAGTTGGAGGTAGTTCCTCTTTTCCTGACCCTTTATCCGTTGAATCAGGTTCCAGTGCTATCGGTTCCTGTGGTGGCGGTGTTTGCTCGTCTTTTTCAGCTGTAGTCGTTGAAGCGGATTCGGTAACAGAAACAGATACAGCTGCTACGTGAAGTGAAGGAGAAGGATCTTCTTTTTCTAAAAGAGAAGGTGAGCCAGTTTCGGTCACCGTCGGCGGTGGCGCTGCTGCCACAGGGGGATTCTGGGTTGGAGTTTCATCGGTCATGTTTGGCTGTTTGTTGTATGAAAAAGTGAAGAGTGCGACTGTGAAGTGAAGAAGTGAGAAAGTTCATATAAACAAATCTGGAACGGTAACAATATGGAAAATGGAATCCTATGCTCTAATGTCTAATCTAATAAAATGTAGACTAGGACAAATTATTTCATGGATATAAATATATTTAATTAATAGTTTAAAAATATGAATATAAATAATATATATTTTAATTTAAAATCTTACAAATAAAATCTAAATATTATATATAAATTAAATCTGATCTTTCTTTTAAATTTATTTTAACTTAATTTAAAGTATAAAATTTTTATTTATGAATAATCCAATTTCAATTATATATTTTTAAAAACATATATTGATGGAAATATATATATTAGAAGTGGACAAATGTAAAAGGTTTTGATGTTTGAAGGGCATGGATCATATGTTGTACCTTTTTGGGACTGTTATCGTCAAACAATATAAAATTAATAATTTATATTGTAATTTAATTATAAAATATATGAAAACTAATATAAAATATTTTTTTTGAGTTGTATTATGGACTATTCGAGATGATTCAGGCCCAAATAGAGAGAGTTGTCAAACTTTTTTGGTCATAACCTGGCATGTCCATGGACACTTCTAACCCAATGTTGGATTCGAAGGCCAAGATTTCAACATCCAAGATAATTAACCCTAGACCCGAAAAGGAGAGAGAAGATTAAGCAAAAGGAGGAATAATACAACAATAATAATAGCAGGAGAGAGAGAATAGAAGAAAAATAAAAGAATAAAAAAGCTCGGAAATGGCAGAGAACAAGAGATTGGTGCCGGAAAAGTATGATATTAACGCAAAATGGGACGCTTGCCTCGATCTCGCTGTCCGCCGCTTCGTTTATTCATCATTCGCCGGTGCTGTTAGTGGCCTCCTATTATTCAGTTTGTCTCCCTTTCCCCAAAATTTATCGATTCCCCTTTTTCTTTTTAGATATTTGTTTTGCAGCGTTCGATTGAGAACTGTTGGAATGAACGTACGTAATTTGTAGAATTTAGTATTTTTCAAGTTGAAGATTGGCTTCATTGGTTCTATAAATATTGTTTTTCGATTTTCTGGTTTCCAGCATTTGTCCTTTTTTTATTTTTCATTTTTCAGTGCCGGTTGGATGTGATGCCGCTGTATAATAATATCAGAAATGGGATGATGTTATGTCTGTTTTGAATGCCAAAACTATTATAATTTTTCCTTACCCGCACATCAATATCCATTTAGGTGCCAACATTTTAGATCATCTGGCTGCCTTAAGGAGCTATGTTTACCGTAAAATATCACCATGTTACGTGGACTCATGTGAGTGTTGGATATGGGAATGTGTTCGACACCGATATGTTCAATTGTTCTTGGAGGATCATATTCCCATGCCCATGTCCGAACATAAGTCAGACATGAGTGTGGCACAGTACTTCAAGAAAACTGAAGATTGGGAGCAATAGCAACATGTCATGCTCTTCAAATATTCAAGAGTGTTTTCATCCTTATATGTTTGATTTTCCTACGTATAGTTTAGCATCAGAGCTAGATCCTTTTGCCACCATTGTAGGTTAACAACTAAGTTGAAACTTTTCCATTGTTCCCATCTAGTAAAGCTGAAACAGTTAAAGTGATAGTGCATTTTGCTTTTAAATAGATATTCATTTGGGCTGTCGTTAGAGTATACAGTGTTCTTCACTTTTGAATTACATTGAATTCTTTATAGTAGTCTTCTATCCAAGCATTATTACTTATGTGCCTTTTCTTCTTTCTTCCTTGAATTCAGAATATTGATCCATTTTGATTTTTCATACTAGAGAGTCCAGTGACTCGATGGGCATCAGTAGCTTTTGGTGCTGGGATTGGAATTGGATCTGCATACACAGATTGTTCTCGTAGTTTTTATGGATACGATGCTCATGTTTCCCAGGTAGGAACTTTTGCTTTACTCAGCTAATACTTTAATCTTTTGAACCACTCCTTCCTCTAAGTTGCAAACTCACGTTTCAGTTGGTTTAAGAGATAATCCTTTGTTATACAAATGTTAAATTCTTGTTTTACCTGTTAACAGTTCTCTAAAGATGTCAAATAGGCAGATTTGCGTCATCAACTTCAACACCAACAACTAAACCAACTTTAATAGAGTAATATGGGATTATCCATAATCCTAAATCCAATAACATGCAATGCTAAGTAAATTTTATCCTAAGATAATTTCTTGTAACATTTAATATAATTAAAAAGTGATGTATTAAGTGATAGTCTGAGTAGACACAATGGATAAAATTTAAGCATACTCCAGTTAGTGAACCAAAGGTCCAAAACAACTATCATTGAGCTTGGCTTGCCTTTTATCTAAAAACATAGGAAGAGACAAAGACTATCTCTTAGGTTGAAATGCAAAGTTACAATAGTGGAAGTTGGAGTTCATAGGTTGACAAGTTGTATGTATCAGTTCTATCTGATTTTGTGACAAAAACTTCTCTCCTACTATGCACTTGTGCTGTTTGAGTTGAGTCCTTTTGGTTTGCAACTTGCACATAGGCATTAGTTTAGAAAAGGGTCAGGAAATTATCTTTAAGCCAAGTGCTGTCCAATTATTAAATCATGCTATTGGTTGAAGCATTGAGAGGTATGGGGTGCTCTACTTCTTTGTCTCTTTCTTTTCCACTTTTCTTCCAGTCCGACAAATACGTTAGCCATCTCCTGGTGTATATTCTATCACCATATCCATCTTTAGTAACTGCTGTGGACTGAAACAACCATTCTATTTTGATAAACAACTGAGAAGTTAGATATGGTACTCCTAAAAGATTTAAACTTCCCTGAATATCTAAAAATTGAACAAATTAATGGGATTTACTCAGAGAACCTTGAACTTTTTTTTAAAGCATTTAGTGGAAAAGCTTTCCATATTATGACATCTGCTGTACCCAATGGAAAAAAAATTCGCGATGATGCCTGAGCTAGTCAATTTCTCAGGTTATAGTGGTTAGTTGTTTCTTTGCCACCTGGTCTCTTGGATGATGATTGTCTACAGCCTTGGCAATTTAAGCACTATTTATTGTTCAAATAGATGAAGTACTAAAATTGTCACTTCACTAGCATTCTATCAAGTTTGACTATTTCTTAGAAATCAGCGTCTGATGGATGTTTGTCAAATTTAATTTGTGTATATCACTCTTCTTAATATTTGTTTCAAAAATCTCTGTAGAAACTTCATTTTGTTCTCTTTTATGTTTCCAGGATGGGAAGCAGTGAGTCGGTGTTGTTGAAGTTCCTCCAAGTTTATAGGTTCGAATTCAGAGTTTTTCATAAGCTGATATTGTTTGTCATTACACAGCAATGTCTTTTGAATTTTAGTACAAACATTGTTGTTGTTGGGTCGGCAATTAACATGATGCACATGACTCCAGTTGTCTTTTGCTCTGTAATTCTATCATGAGTAAAACCAAAAATTTGGAGAATGAAAATAATTCCTTCAATTGCAGGCTTGAATTTTATGTGGTTGTTAAGATTTGCGTTTGTTATGTCTTGATGAGTGCCAGTATATGGAGTTACTTTTTAGCTTCCTCGTGTGAGGGAAAGTTACAACTTTTTGTATAATTCATATTTTGAATCTCTATCATATTTTGCATCCCTCTATTGTCTGCTTTCTCATTTCCTAGGACTACTACATGAAGAGCGAAACGAAGATTCGATCCGCTTACAATACAAAAGGTTGTTGAAAATCTTGGTTACCTTATGTTTGTGAATTGCTAGGGGAACTGCCTTCCAAAATTTCTTTAATATGAAGAGGTTCGTTGGAATGTAAGTTTTAGAGGGTTGCAGATGAATGCAATTGGCCCTTCAAAGCCCACATCATTCTGTTTAAATGTTGCTCAAACAGAAAATGTCCTCTGATTTCATTCTCCTCCTCCAATTGGAACATAACCGTACACCTATACACTGAGTTTGTGCAAAATAGAGCAAGCTGAGGATGAGTACAGGAAACAAATTAATGTCAGTTTTCTTCACATTTGTAAGGAAGCTAAGATCAAATGTCTTTCCATTTTGAAGTCTAAATAACCAAGTGGAAAGAAAAGAACAAAAAAATAGTTTCAAGGCAACTGTCCATAGCAGTTGACATTGTTCTTACTGTTTTATTCTTTCTTCGCTGAATGCTCATTTGACCTATATAGGTAGGGATCAAACTGAACCATTTTTCACTGAATCCAAATTAGGTTGCTTTGGAGCTTTTTTATTTTTTTTTCTTCGTAGATGGTTAGTTGAGTTGGGCATCGGTCGAATTTGAGTTGGGATTCTTCGGCATTGAAAGGAAATCTTCCCACTCTACCTTAAGCTTCGACGAACACCGTGCAATCATATATAGAAGCTACCGTGAAATCTTCCTATTCTTAGGATGCATTCTAGAAAATCCAGAACTCCGAACTGTATTCATGGTAGTGCTATAATTATTTCATCTTCTGTTCTTAAGAATGATGTTTGTATAAGTTGGCGTGGGGGATTAAAGTAGCCTATTACTCTGCTGTTTTTGGTTTTTCCCAGTGTGAAACTTTGCAGGTCTTCCTCTACTTTATTTCAATACTGGAATAAATATGTAATTATCCCCATTCTGTTTATTGCCGTTGCATTTGCTGTTCAAGTTGAGTTTCAACAAGTCTTGCCCTCATTCATATTGATCCATTGGAGTTCATTAATCATTCGTCGATTGGTTTAGGGAGCTAAGCTTAAAGATCGTGCATCACTTTATGACAAAGTGGAACAGAGAGTCCGACAATTAGAACCTTTTAGATCTCTCGATTCATGTATTCATGCCATTAATTGATAAAACCGGTTTCACATCCAAAAATTAAACCTGTCTAAACATGTATTCTTTACTGTTTACTCACCCAAAGAAAAATAACCCAAAACAAGCAGAGAACACAACGGAACAAGTAGCAGTTCATAATATCTGTAGAGTAGATGCATGCTTCTTTATTTTAATAATATCGAACCACCGATTTCAGATTTGTTCTCTCCGACTGTCTCTACCTGCCATAAGTGTTACAGACAACCAATTATTAATTATTATTGCTCCCGCCCCTTAATAAATATGGTCATTTTTAGAAAATTCAAAACGTATTAAAGTACAAAACAAAACAAAAATCACACAAGATGACATAAAAAAAATAAACTATAGTACGTACACAAGGAATGGTATTTTCATATAGAAAAAAAACCCCTTCATTTTGCAGGATTAAAGTTTAAATATTTTGGGAGAAATTGCAGTAGAGAATACACACAATACGATATATATTTGTTTCAACAATTCTTCGGTGAGTTTATGATAATATTGTTGATTTTTCTTTTTAAAAAAATTAATTGGGTTGCTTATTTCAATAATATATATCCAGATGCAGGAATTCACACTATAAATCCTTTAATGCAATATCGAGAAACTATAAGAATCTCCATGTTGATGTATTTAAAACGAAAAGAAAGCAATTACCCAAGATGAAGGATGTTGTTGTGAGGATCTGAGTAGGCAGCGGCAGTTCCTGTCTCCACCACATTTGGGCTGAAGAAATTGCGAGAAGCAGCTAATGCATGTGTAGCATTCAGCACCTGCTCCACTCACCACCATATTTGCTTGTTGAACCCTCTCCATTTCTGCTATCTGATGTTCCACCACAATACTTAAATCTACTGTTATAGTAACATTTTTTTCTACTTCTTCATCACTGCCTCCAAGTTCTTTTTTCATCTATAAAAATATTCACTACTTTCTTGTATATCCGTGCACTTAATCAACTATTAGCAATTATTACAGATTCAAAATCAACTTAATCATACGAGTTAGGAAAGTAGTGTGTGATTAGATTACCTTGGCTCGGAGACGAACACTTTGATTTTCCAACTCAACTTCCTACAAACTATAAAATTATAAGTATAGAAATTAGAATTGGGGGGAAACAGTATTAGCCACTAAAGTAGTAAGAAAGAAGGAATTCACCCTCTTTTGGAAATACTGGATTTCAGACAGCAGCGTTTCGTAGTGTTGCATCCATTATAAACAAAATTATATAAGAGAAGAAAACAAAGGAATTCACCTTTTGGAGTGAAGAGAAAATGATAGTTTAGTTACGTTCTTTGATCAACTCTATGCTCTACCTGCTTCAATTCCTTCACTGTATGAATAATTAACACGAGTCATTAAATTAGATCAAATTTAAATTTGAATAAGAAATTCTTTTGAAAGTAGGTCGTAATCCGATGACCCATGGATATGATTCCTTGAGTCTAAGTAAATTAAACAAACTTGATGTGATCTGGAATCTTATATGAATCCATACTTGAAATAAATCAAACTGAATCAAAATCAAATCAAATTTTAGTTGGACTGATTTGACCTGCAACCAATTTGACTCAAACGGATTTTTACCTGAATTAGAAGCAACTCAAATTTAATTTATTTAATTTGAATCAAATATCAACCCAATTTTAACTTGATAATTGAATGAAAGAGATCAAATAATTAATTTATTATTATTATTTATAGCAATGATAAATAGTAAAATGATATATATATATATTATTCTATTTTTTATTGTATTACTAGTTAACCACCATCTTTTATAATAGTTTAATGGTTTAATATAATCTTTCATCCTTTAAAAGATATCTTCATTTATGATATGATAATTTTTAAAAGATATTTGATATAATAATTATAAAATTGAATTATTCACTATTCAAAATTATAGTTTATGTGATTAACTTTAATTGTCATCTCTTAGAAGGTAGACTATGATTAACTTTAAAAGATATATATACAATTGACATGAAACACAAATCTCAATTAAAGAGTTATCATTTAAAAGTGATATGTAGTTACAAACTAAGTCAAATATCTACATTAAATTGGTCCTACGTATCAAACTCAATTACATTGAGTTTCTTATTGATGATGTTGAATTCGAGACATTCAACGATTGGACAATCGAGAGTTAAAATTGAACCATTAACAAACAAAACGATACATCTTTTCTACAATAATATATTAATAATTATATATATGTATTTGATTGGACTCATATCCAACTCAACTCCATTAGATATTGACATGAATCAACATAACCCAATTTGATACCCAAATCTGATTCGTCTAGACTTAAATTAAGTTGATTTGAATTTATCTAAACCAAATCTGACATGAATAACTAGATTGCCATCTCTAAGCCTAGGAGTTGAATATAGGTCTATAAAATACATTTTATTCTAACCATAGAGGAGCAAAACCTAGTTTGGAAACTTCAAAGAAATTAAAAAAAATAGAAAGCAAACTTCATCTATACCTTCTCAGTGTAATTGGCACTGCTAATTATATATATATAATTTCACAATTCAAGGATTTGAATTACCTGTTAGTATTCTGTATCATTTGAATCTGTTGCTTTAACTTGGTTGATTCTCGTTGATAATACTACATGGGTTAATAAAATCATAATATCAAGTTCGTTAAAGTAAAATAATGAAAATATATTCATAGGTTAAAAGTAGATATATATTTAACATTTTGCGGAAAATAAAAAATTACTTGAGCATTGATTTCAGGAACCGTGGTTGTGTTTAAACCATCCGAACATGCCTTCTTGTACTTATCCATTGTTGATCTTATGCTGCACTCAACAAATGAAATGTTCCTTATAAATTCATGAGGAATAACTGTAAAATAAACACATTTAATGTTTACTGGGGAGAAGAAAACTCTCCACTTTGTTTATCATTGATTTAGCTAAGGAGGAAGAGGAAGTGCAGAGATGTTGAAATTGCCTTTATTTAGCAAGCAAGGAGAAAAGCTTTACACACATGGATTGTCAACTCAATCTTCACTCAAGAGAGAATGATGATAAGCAAACAAAAGATTTGGAAAGCTTGATTGTTAGCTACAAATTGAAGCAGACAAAACCCAGATACTCGGATCTTTTCAACAATGAAACTGGTAACTGCATTGGAACTCATACACTTCACAATTCACGTAATTGTTTGACCTTTGTAAAAAGTTCAAAACAAAAGAAGCAATGGGATGACTTTTTGCCAGATTGTTTGACATGAATCTATGTCTAATCACCCGTACTTGGTTGATGATTGTATCAATTAACACTGAAAAACGAAGAAAATGTTTTTCGTAAAATCAACTATCAAACACACCCTTACTTGTTGTTGGCGTATTCATAGAGGCGGCCACGGGCGGAGAAGACGACAAGAGCCCCTTCCGCATCACAAAGGACTGATAGTTCGTAAGCTTTCTTCAACAGCCCATTCCTTCGCTTGCAAAACGTAACCTGACGATTTGTAGTGTTCTCAATCCTCTTTATCTCTATTTTTCCACTCCCCATCTTCACCTTTATGCAACAAATACAGTATTATCCCCCAATTTATCATTTCTTCCTTCCTTATTCTATGTTTTTAGGTTTTGGAAGATAGATGTATGAATTCAATAGCCAAACTGATGA